AATATGTAAACATTTAAATATTCAATCAAATATTCGTACTAAACGTGGATTAATTAATGGATTAGGTTCAATTATTAAATTAATTACTGAAAATTTAGATGATAATGATTTAATTAATATTCAAAACAATTTAGAGACTTTAAGAATAGCTTATAATAAACAGATTTCTGTTACTGATAGTTCTTTAGAAGAATATAATAAACAAAGTTTAAATATTACAAATATTCAGATACAAATAAATAATCAATTAAATAATGTATTAAATAATAAGGCGCAGCAAAAGGTTGCGATCTCTTTATTGTTACAAGCTCAAACTTTGCAAGATATAGCTGAAAGATTAACAACTGCGATTATTTTTGCAGAACACAGTATGTATCATTATAGTATATTACAATCGCATTTACTATTAGAAACTTTAAATAATATCCCAAAAGATTTACTTATTTCTAATAATATAAATTATTTAGAGCCTTTGTTAACTGTAAAGAGTAAAATTATGAATGAAATTGTTTATTTTATGATTAATATTCCTTTAGTTAAGAGTAAGATATATAAGAGTCGAAAAATTGTACCCATTATCCAAAATTACCCATCCTGTTCCTATCCTATTATGCAAAAGGTAACTCTTGCGTTTGATAACGAAGAAACGTATGAAGTTTTTATTTGTATGGAATTAAGTAATTTAATTTGCAAAGGAAATCTAATTAAAATAGATTCTTGTGAAACAGAGATTTTATATAAGAAAGAAAGTAATAAATGTCAAACAGTAAATGTTAAATGTCCTAATCAAGAGATTCTCCAAATTTCTCCTAAAGCAAATTATATGCATTTTAATAAAACTACGGAAGTTTATATTAAATGTAATAAGCACGAGGAAACGGTGTGGACTAAGCAATCTAATATTCTTTATGGTGAAAATTGTGAACTTAAAATATCTGGATTAAATATATTTCAAACAAAGGAATCAAATGATAAAATAATTATTGCGAATATTGATACTCAGAACATTGAAACTTTTACTGAAATAGAATTAAATTATGATGCTTCAAATATTAACTCTAAATTAAAGCAAATAGAGAATTTTAATTTTGAAGAAGGAAATCATAATATTATACAATATAGTTGGATTGGTATCTTGACTTTAATAATAATTATAATTACCCTGATTAAAATTCTACGATCCAAGGTCTGTTTTAAACCATGGACTTCGAATTTGGAGGGGGACAGTCAAGCCACCCAGAATATAGAACTTGATAAAAATATAAACTTTAAGTATATTACAGACAATAGGCAATTAGATCGCATTCCAGTAACCACACCATGGACTTACAAGAATCCGATAATGCTGAAAGACAATGAATAATCAGGAAACATTATTTTTTTGAACATTCAGCACATTCCAAAACATCGACGTGTGGAGCATCCCGTCGCGATCCCCCGCAGGAGCAGTATATAAACCGCGAGTTGGCGAACAACAGTGTTCACATCACCCCAGTTTTAAGTAATAGATAGACTTAAGATATAAATTGTAAAAAGTGTTTAATTAATATTTTTTTAACAAAGTCTATCTTTCAAATATTTTGACTCGTATATTAGCGTTTCTTGTGTTTATAGAAAAGGTAGTTTTAACTAAACCTACCTCTGAATAACTGTAAAGTATAAAAATCGTAAATATCTTTTTTAGTGAAGTGCCTACAGTTAAACCAAATAAGCTTTAAAATCAATCAAAAGTTATTTCTCTCTTAGGGTTTTCTTTGTAATTTATATAGGACCACTTTATATAAGCCACCATTGTATAAGCATATATCAGTTGTAACTAACATGTTCATAAAAAAAAGTTTCACTACATATTCAATCAGTTTGTAAATATATGCTATATTCAAGTCTATCTAACATTATCTAGTAACTGCCTCGGTGGTGTAGTGGCTAGCATGTACGTCTGCACACCGGAGGTCCTGGGTTCGAGTCCAAGTTTAGTTATTGAGTCTTTATGAATAGTAAGCCTCAGTAAAAGCCCGGAGTTGGGAAGTTGGCGGTCTTTCACCCCCGTGCCTCGGAGAGCACGTAAAGCCGTCGGTCCTGCGCCTTAACTCTCACTAATCGTGTCGAGCAGTCGTCCCACCGGAGTATGAGAGTGACAGGAATAAAGAGTGCACGTTGTGTCTACGCGTACACTTGTGCACTATAGTATCTCCTGCGCAGTTGGCTAGTCTCAACGAGATTGACCGCCGTGGCTAGAATCGGCCAGGAGAACATCATCATCTAGTAAGCAACAAAGTTTTGCATTTAGCAACTAAGTAACAGCAATCAGATTTGCATCAGATTAATTTCTTATCAAGTAATACCAGACACCTGGGCGATATCATGAATTGGTATCTTGTTAATTAATATCTTTAAATATAAATAGATTTTATTTCTACCGATCACTTCCTGAGTTATCAAATATAATCAATCACTTGTTTTTCAATTGTACCCCGATTTTTGGACTTTGCAAATTAGTTTAGCGATCAGATTTTTTATGGTATCTATTTTTATGCAAATGTATACGTAATGAATGGTGTCAGCAAAGAATCGAACATGCGACCACTCAATTTGTCTGCTCCTATTCGCCCTGTTTGCTTATTTTTAGTGGAAATCACATATTTTACTTTAAATATATTTTAACTGTATTGACAATATCTTACTAAAAAAATGGCAATTTTTTTCGAATACTGCTCTATTATTTCCATAGACATGGTATTGCCCTTGCTAACTTACAACAAATACATACTTTGGACAATCTCCCTCATCTCATTTTATTATAGCAAATGATCAATGTAAGTGATATTTTTAGATTTTCGCGCGAATTTCACGAAAAGCTAAATGATTTTTAATTATATATTATATACTTAAAAACTATTTATTGCACCTCTATGCAGGTAATGGGCTCAAATAAAATATAACACTTTTTATTTTATAACTAGCATTGCCCGCGGCTTTGCCCGCGTTTAGATGACCAAAAACCAAATTCTTAGGTTTTACATATTAGTATACTCTTACATTGCAGTTTTTGTATTTTTTCTCAGAAATGAGATATTTTACCGCGGTAAAAAGTATCCTATATGTTGACCTGGATAATCAGCTATCACCATACCAAATTTCATCACAATCACTCAAGTGGTTTTTCTTTGCTGTTTCTTCTTGTTAGACAGACATACAAAATATCTAAAAAATATAGATTCGGCCTTCTGTATCGATAATAATGACTATCTGTACATTAAATATTTCTTGCAAAATCTAATTGAAGATTTTGCAAGAAATATTTAATGTACAGATTCGACTCGGTTAGAATTTTATTATATGTATCACTTTTGTTCAAAACTTCAGTAAAACTTATACAGTAAATCTATCGATGTTAACTTATGCGTTTTAGGTATTTTCACTTGCAATTGCCTTATTTTAATGTTGGGTAATGCATTTACACATACTACCTGCTACCTGCATACATACAAGTGGTTATGTGGGACTCTTCGGCTTGAGAAGCCAGTACTATCCACTAAAACCCAACACAACTTCCCCCATCTTATTAGGCTTTAAAATTAGCTTACGCAGTCAACCACGACGTCCTGTTAGCAGGTCTGCCGAAGTAGACCACACAACAAGGGGGTTCCTCCCACATATTCTGCTATCAGAGAAATACCTGGAGAAACCCGCAAGCTGGACCGCAGCCCGAGGACGAGGCACCACACCCCACGCAATACAATTGTTAGTAAGGTTCCTAATATATTTCTTGAAATTGTAATAACTTTTGATTTAGTTCATCGATTCTAATGAAATAAGGACTAAATGTTACCTGGAGATACATTTATAATGAATATATTATTTCTAATCCTTTGAATTCAATTCAGTAGTTTTGATTTGATGCAATTTCAAACATACAGACAAACCGACAGACAAAAATTCTAAAAATAATAGAAATTTCTTTTACTAAATATTTTCAGTTTCCGAAACAAAGTTTTTTGTAAATGTAAGCAATGTGGCGACACACAGAATTTTCTTTTTTATTATAACTTTCGCTCTTATTATTATTAATAATAATAATAATAAAGCCATTTATTCCATATTTCCAAGATACAATTCGAATGTAGTTAGTAAGTTGTTAGTAAATTTACTTAATTATTATTATACATATTATGTTAGTATGTTTAGTTTTGTTAATTGTAAGTATGTTTAGTTAGTTTGAAATTATATATCTAATTTGAAATATGGACCCCTTTTTGGGTAAAGGCCTCCTCCAGCTTCTTCCATGTTTCCTTGTCCTTGCTTAAGTTTAACCAGTTGTTCCCTGTTACTTGTATAATATCATCAGCCCACCTTCTTCTTGGTCTACCAATGCTCCTTTTCCCCCCTGGGCCTTTCCATCGTGTGGTCTCTATAGTCCATCTTTTGTCCGTGTATCGTGAGATGTGTCCGCTCTTATTATTAAAGTTATTATTATATTATTATTCTTTTGGTACGTTTGGAAAAAAATATGAGATTAAAATTTTTACGGTGCGCGCGCACTCCGACAGCCAAAAAGCGACATGATGAAATTAGCTGCATTCCTTTTACAAATAGAGAGCTGTGACATACGGGATGAAATCTTTAGCTATTTTTGCCAAAGAAGTATAACTTCTTATGTACCCACATATGTACAAACACACACTATTTTATATCTAGGCATGAACGAACATAAGTTTGATGTCACAATAGGATTGTTACGAGTTAAATACCATCTAAATTATAACAATGTTTTTTATTCCTTTAGTAACATACGGAACCCTCTCAATTATAATTCTAATATAATTTTTTTCTCTACATAGATAGTTTGATAATAGCTTAGGTATATTCCAAATAAACATTTTTTTATCAAAGAGCACTGATTGCACACCTGTGAGATAGTACAAGGTTATAAGAGTATAAAATAAGCAGTGGGTCCTCACTCAACATAGTCCTCCTTGAGATTGAAGGTACTCAGCAAAATGAAATACTTCATCGTCTTGCTTGGTTTCGTGGCGGTTGCCTACGGTCAAACCAACGTGCACAGATGTAAGTGGAATTTTTATGACTTTACTAAACTATTTTTTTTTTAATTTGGTTCCTTTTTTGTTTATTTATTTTCCTGTAATATAAGACCCAATCGACAACTAAAGACAAAGAGTGACAAAAGTTATTAAAATTATGTTAATTAAATCTTGTTCTGCCGGGATTTTATCTAGGTGTATGCAAAAACAATTTTTTTATGTCAATGTGTTACTTTATACTTATTAGATACGACAAAAATTATAACTTTAACGTGTAAAATTTACCTCTTACCTACTTAATCTCTTTTGAGAGTCTGATAATTTATTGTTTTATTAAATATGTATATGTTATATTTTAATTTAACTTAGAACCTAAAGAATACCTATATTGAAATTGTTAATTAAATTTCAAATTGTTAGATCCAGAATTTTATTTGTGTATTTATATTTTAATCAGTCAGATGTAACATTTGTAATATTTACCTATTATGTAGGAATAACCACAGTAAAAAGGTAATTTTGTAAACAGGTGTTGGCACCGCCGGTCCTCTGCCCACGAGAACTACCATCGAGGGCTGTACCAACCCGCCCTGTGACCTGCCACAGCTCAGAAATGCTGTTATACATATGTCATTCACAGCTCGTAAGTGCATGCTATATACAATACTAATTTAATATGAAAAGTTATCGCCTTTGTAACTGTAATACGTATGCATTACTTTGAATATTTAAACATAAAAAGAATAGAAGTACTGAAAGAAATATATTTTTTAATTTTATTTGTGAATATCCATACCTAATATTATAAATGTGAAAGTGTGTTTGTTTCTTTGTCCTTCTTTCACGTCGAAACGGAGTGACGGTGAGTCGGAGGGCTGGAGAGTGGCATAGGCTACTTTTTATTGCGAGAGATTATCTCGTTCCCACGGGAAAACACGTTATAATACGATCCAAAAAAATATGATCAGAATTACTTGATATTTAGTATTAATGCTTTTCAATAAAATTAAATAAATACATATTTTAGTACTTTTCGAAATTCATCATATAAGTAGGTAAAATAAAGGATGAAAGTTTGTATGAAACTACCTTTTTAGAGATTTTTTTTATAGTTTTAGCGCGAGCAAAGCCGCAGGTTCTGCTATTACTATATTACTATATATAGCAAATTTTAATATATATTTAAGACGATTATTTAATGATAGTATTCTTAATACTTACGAATTTACCAACGAACAGCATATTATGTTTTTATATTAAAGATCCCTAGTTATTCGACTTACCATTACCTTCACAGCTCGCAACATTAGGACGATGCGTACCCTAGCCACGGCGTTCTTGGGCGCCGTCCCTGTCCCATACAACCTCGGCGATGCCGCGAACACCTGCAACTTCCTCACCAACACTCGCTGTCCAGTCAACAATGGCGTCAACGTCGACTACACACTCAGGATGTTCATCGAGTCTTTCTTCCCAGTCGTAAGTTATCGTGATATCTCTAAAAACAGGATATTAAAAATTAATATTCAAATATGCGTAGAGAAATTAAATTATAGTACCTAATAGAAATCGAATTCTTTGCTTAATTCTTTGCTGTAAGAAATATAAAATAAATGAATGCCATACTAATTATATTTAACCTTCCACCAGGGTACGGCTGTCACCGTAGAGATGCGCGTAGTGGATGAAAACAACAACTCAGTGGTCTGCGTGCGCGTGCCCATTCGCATCGTGAGAGGGTGAAGCATGGACGGACGGACGAGGTCTAGCATGTTGCGAAATATGAACACTTCTCAATGTATATAAGGATATTAAGATAATAATAAAACTATAATATACAACAATTTTCTTTTAATACAACATGTTCGATACCCATTAATTATAAATTCATAATATTCTGTAAAATGTAAAAGATATACATATAAAAAGAAATACTCCATAATACAAATAGTACTTATTGGTATTTAGAAGAAGACTAGAATAGTACCAATCTGTTTATAAAAAAGCAGCAACATCCATTTCGTTCTATAAATCTACGAGCTTTTTTGAGACAAAATTCTACTGTTGTTGTTACTTACATAAAACATACATATTTTAAATCCATTTTACAACAGCGGGCAAAAAGTTAAATAAATAAACTAACCTTTTAAAATATTAAGTGATGATCATTTTCTGAAACCTAAATTATATCTACATAATATACGATTTACGTACACTATATTTTGTTTTGAGACAAATACTTTTTTAGGTATAGAAACTTAAAATATATTGGGCCATGTCTATGATCATTATTTAATTTATTTCGGATCCAAAAAAGTAAAAAAAAAATAATTTATTTTTTGTAGCGTTAGATGATGTCAGTTTTTTTTAAAAAGTGGAGCTATTCCAGGAATATCACAAGGGTGTTCCGTTTTAGATAAACTCAGCACTAGCATAAACCGTGACTTTGATCCTGTTGAAATAAAGAAGAATAGAAATGTCAATTATAGATAGAGTAAATAAATGCAAAATTTACTACGTAAATCATCAAGCAAACAATCAAACTATATAATAATTAATAAGTCAAAAGCCTCCAATTAAAAACAATCCATTCTCAGTAGGTATCATATAGGTGGTAGAGGTATCGTTAATTGTGTCACACTGTGCCACAGCAACACCGTATGTTGCCTGCCACTTAATTGTATTCTCGTACATTTTTAACGTAAGAAGTTCGAGAAATTCACACAATCTCTTGTACCTTTTTAACAATAAATCAAAAAATCCTCAAGAACTTAGCATAGTACCTAGCTAAATTTTTATCACAATATTATGTACAATATTGAGAAATTTCTAAAAGAAAATATTTTGAAAAAGCCAGATAGATATATTTCATATGGAAGTAATTTGTGGATGCTTATTACATTTCTACTTTACTTTGAGTCAAATGACTCAAATTGATATTAAAAATATAAAACGCATTTCTCCATTCAGGATTGAAGTAACTATAACTTGATTATTAAAATATGTATTTAATAATATTTTAGTTTTATTTAGTCTAGTGTGCTTTTGATTTTCCTTTCTGCGATTTTGCGGGTACTGACTTATTATTTATTCGTAGAGTTTTATTGATTCATTTATTAGAAACTTATACTCTATTGGCCTTATTGGCCTTCCCGGGACAAAAAGGGGGCCTTTTTGCATAGCTGTCGCTTATTTTTATGATACTTCGAGCTTTCACTACGTCTATATTTCTTATTTCTATCTAAAATATCGAATTCTTTTATAAACGAAAAAAGAAGTTCTTAAAAATGGAAAAAAAAACTTAAAAAAAATCGACTTCCAGGCACTAAAATGTAAAAAATAACTAAACGGAGGTTTTCATTTAGAATAGATATTTAGATCAGATATTTTCGAAGTCGGTGCCAGCCGATGTTAAGGAAATCTAAGATATTTCGATACGTAAAATACATATTTACCTATTAGATATTCATATCTTAAAATATTGTGCGAGAATGACTGCAGAAAGCCAAAATAAATTGACTTTCTTTTACCCGCGAATCCGCTTGCGCATTTTATTTACATATATATATTATTAATTACTTTACTGCTAAAAGATGTAGTATGGTGTTAGATAACCTTCATCAATATGATACGAGTACTTACATAATATAAAGATGAAAAGTTTGCTTGTGTGTACGTGCACATTTCTGAAGCTATGAGCCCGTTTCAACATATTTTGGATTTTATAGGCTATCTATATAACTTTAAAAAAAAGAACCTCAATATCGACCAAACTGAATAAATTTTCGTTGATATTCAACCACGAGGCGATCACTAGTAAATGTTAATAAATAAAATATATTATATTATTATACTAAATAAAAGGCAATTAATAATATAATTATATTATTCCTCTCAAAAATATTTTTCTCAAAAATTTCAAATTAACGACCATTTTCTTTTTTCCTTATTCTTTGAAGAAAGTAAACAATCTTTATCCGGCAAAGTGGAAAATAGTATTTATTATACATGAACTTCATGAACAGCAAAATACGCAATAATTTTTGATTTAGATTTTTTTATTTGGCGGACTCCTCTATATAATTCTTAAAGTTTGAGATTGAAATATTAGATTTCCTCGGTTTTTATGTTTATTATTAAGTTAATTTACTTGAAAATATCTATATTTTATTCATTTTATTGAAACTGGCTTAACCGTAAAAGTCAAGAAAATCGAGAGAATAGTTACATATACACATAGATTCAGATGAAGCTATATTAGTTTTTTAATATTTGTATAGATTCAGTTAAATCAATCTCGATAATACTACAAGGCTTCATATTTTGGTCTTTCGGTTCGTAAAATACGGAATCCTCAAAATTATAAATCAGATATGTCTCTACTATACATTGATAGTTTGATAAAAGCTTATTGGTTACAATATTTTATCAAAGAACACTGATTGCACACCTGTGAGATAGTATAAGGCTATAAGAGTATAAAATAAGCAGTGGGACCTCACTCAACATAGTCCTCCTTGTGATTGAAGGTACTCAGCAAAATGAAATTCTTCATCGTCTTGCTTGGTTTCGCGGCGGTTGCCTACGGTCAAACCAACGTGCACAGATGTAAGTAGAATTTTTATAACTTTATTGAACTAGATTTTATTAACTTGGCTCCTTTTTTGTTTACGACTTATTTCCCTGTGATGTGGGTCTTATGGCCCAATCAACAACTGAGAGAAATGTTGTTTTCGCGGGATTTTATCTAGGTGTATGTTAAAATTCTTTTTTTTTTCTATATTATTATTATATTCTTTATTGCACTTAAAATATGATACAGAAAAAATAACAAAGTAAACATTGTTCACAAAGGTGGACTTATCTCTAAAAGACATCTCTTCCAGTCAACCCCTGGTTGTGGAAGAACATGTCAGCGGCATATAGGTATATTTGTTTGTTACGACATAATTGTTAAATCCGAAAACAAAACTTAAATGCATATTAGTTACCTTTTACCTACTTCTTTTGAGATTCTGATAATTTATTGTTTTATTAAATATGTGTAGAAAGTCTTTAAACAGTTATATTTTTTTTATTAATTTAATTTAAAACCTATAGAATTTATTGAAATGTAATAAAATTGTTAGTTAATCATATTATTAGATCCAGCATTTGATTTGTGTATTGATATTTTAATCAGTCAGATGTAACATTTGTAATATTTACCTATTATGTAGGAATAACCACAGTAAAAAGGTAATTTTGTAAACAGGTGTTGGCACCGCCGGTCCTCTGCCCACGAGAACTACCATCGAGGGCTGTACCAACCCGCCCTGTGACCTGCCACAGCTGAGAAATGCTGTTATACATATGTCATTCACAGCTCGTAAGTGCATGCTTCATACAATCTATATATATAAAAATGAATCCCTATTTCCCTTGGTCACGCCATCACGCGTGAACGGCTGAACCGATTTAACTATTTTTTTGTTGTGTTTATTATTGTCAGAAGGTTCTTATGAAAGAAAAAATTTAAAAAATTACGCTACTAATATTATAAAGAGGTAAAGTTTATGAGTTTATGGGTTTGTGACGTTGTAGGGTGTCTGGATCTACTTAACCGTTTTAGATGAAATTTGGTAAGAAGATAGTTTAAGACCCTGGGAAAGACAGAGGATACTTTTTATCCCGGAAACCATCCCTTAAGGGGACGAAAATGGGGATGATAGTTTGTATGGGGAATCAACCTAGAGTGAGTCGCTAGTACTAATATAATATGAAAAGCTTAACGCCTTTCATCATCCATCAATCCAGCCATCAGTAAGACGATTATTTAATGATAGTAGTCTTAATACTTACTAACTTATGTTGATAATAATAATGCACAGCGTATCATTATTTTATATTAAAGATCACTAGTTATTCGACTTACCATTACCTTCACAGCTCGCAACATTAGGACGATGCGTACCCTAGCCACGGCGTTCTTGGGCGCCGTCCCTGTCCCATACAACCTCGGCGATGCCGCGAACACCTGCAACTTCCTCACCAACACTCGCTGTCCAGTCAACAATGGCGTCAACGTCGACTACACACTCAGGATGTTCATCGAGTCTTTCTTCCCAGTCGTAAGTTATCGTGATATCTCTCAAAATATAACATTAAAAATTGTATTCAAATATGCGTAGAGAAAGTAGATTATAGTAACAGAAATTAAATAAATGGCTTTTCAAAAGTTTTGTCAACGATTTCCGGTGCTAAACGGATGTTGATAAAGATGATTATTGTACATAAATAGTGAAAATTAAATGAGAGAATTAAGAAAATTAAAATATATAAGTTGGAATACGATGGATTATAGATTTATATTAATTTCTAACTAGTAGTTATTATAAACTTTGCTATAAACTAAGTTTATTTTTAAAGGGTTGATTCAATATTGATTGTGGTCACCATTCTGTGCGCTCTTATATAAGGATATAACAGTAAGAAAAATATGTCATACTTATTATATTTCTCCTTCCACCAGGGTACGGCTGTCACCGTAGAGATGCGCGTAGTGGATGAAAACAACAACTCAGTGGTCTGCGTGCGCGTGCCCATTCGCATCGTGAGAGGGTGAAGCATGGACGGACGGACGAGATCTAACAACATGTTGCGAAATACGAACACTTCTCAATGTATATAATGATAGGAAAAACGAGGTCTAGCGACATGTTGCGAAATATTAAGATAATTATTTTAATAAAATTTTTAATCACAAAAACTTTCAAGATTAATATTATTATTTATTTATTAACACATGAATTAAATTTTTCGAAATAAGGTATACTGTGTTCGAATTTACTTTAAAAGATTTATACCACCTTTCCTTGTTGACTTCTTCTCATATTTTTAGTTAGCTATTATGCAGTCGGGTTTTTTATTTTTATATAATTTTACAACTAAAATCGGGAACTCAGATTAGAAGAATGAAAGAAATTCAGGTCAAAAAGGTTATTTTCCATAGCCTATTTTTTGAGGCAAGCGGCCTATTTAACAAGGCAGCAGAGTAAGACCCGAGCTGAGTTGTGGTTAATAGCTATTTTTTTTTATAAACAAACATATGTTTTAATATATTATAATTAGTCTTGCCGTTTTTGTTTCTATATCATTGGATTTCAATAAAAATCTTGCTATAAAATTCGATGAATATCTGGATTTACGCCAAAACAGAAACGTAAAAAATCTAAGCATTCAAATGAAAGTTATAAAAACCGTAAATAGGACACCGTGGGACTTTAAAAATTTAACAAACTTTTACAATTACAACTTTTGTTAGAAGGTTTTAATGATGTAACCTTATATTTTAGTGTCTTTTTATATTTTTTGTACTTATCTTCGATTCTTCATTAAATTTTTTATCTTAAAGTTGTTAAAAAGTTTTACTTTTCTCTTTACGTATAGAAGTACATAATATAAGTATATGTTTTAGATAACACCTTTTCAATGGTATCGTTTAATCACGGTGAAAGGTACATACCTACGAAGACCTAGATAATTCATTGCCGTATATATACATATATATATATATATATATATATATATATACACACATATATATGTGAAATCTGAACCGATTTGAATAATTCTTTTTTTGTTTTGTTGGAGGTATATCAGGGTCCAGGGATGGTTAAAATGTAAACAAAATAGGAAAACCTATAAGAATGGTTATTTTGTATGGGAATCACTACTTCGGATTACTTTCAATAGTGGTGGACCTACCACCTACAACAATACGTCAAGTTTGAGTTAGAAAAAAATAATATATGTATATAACAATATATAGTCTCATTATTCTATACTAATAGTTAAAACGTACCTAGGGACGAACCCGAGCGAAGCGAGGGTGGGTCGCTAGTACTAATTCATAAATTACTATTAATATATAAATTAGATTAATTATTTAGCTATTGTTTTATAATAAAAAACACGCCTTTTAACACAAGATCGACCATAAGTAACTCAAAAAATCATAGGTATTACTTATTTTATAAAAATAACGATCTTTTTCACAACTATCTTCGTATACTTTAACCAGCACATTGAGGCAGTGGCATGGAAAGTGAACGCATCCGTCTCCGCTATCATATGCGTGCTTTAAAATTATAAATTGCTTTAGTGATGTTCTGCGTTTTTTAATAAATATATTTTAATTATGAATATTTTATTCTTTATTGTCTTGGTGGTCTAGTGGCTGGCTTGTACGGCTGCAAATCCGGAGGTCCTGGGTTCGAGTCCCGGTCGGGCCAAGTTTAGTTACAATCTTTCTGATAAGAAAGTCTCAGTAATAGCAGAGAGTTGGGAAGTTGGCAATGTTCCACCTTCATACCTTGCACGTAAAGCTATCGGTCTTGCGCCTTTCGAGAATGGCAATTCACGTCGAATTGTCGTCCCACCGGATTTTATGAGTGACGGGAATAGAAAGTGAACTTGTATCTGCGCGTACACTTATCCACTATAATATGTCTTGCCAAGAGTAGCCAACTGCTCAAGACAGTCTAATACACATACACTTACACGTAGCAAGATTCGCTGTTAGTAAAAAACTTTTGTGTCCGACTGCATAATACTGTTTCTTCGTCAACTTCTTTTCTTCTTTTTAGTTCGCTTTTTACGCAGGCGGGTTTTTTTGTAAATATTTTTTTTCATTTGATGAAACTTAATTTTTATGATTGATACATGACAGCAGAATAGATTACACCAGGGTTGCCTGACAAAATTTAGGCGCAATTACCTTTAATCTATACATATAATAACATTGTAACTAAGCCGAATCTGTACATTAAATATTTTTTGGAAAATTTTATTGAAATAGACTTTATTATCGATACCGAGGCCGAATGTATAGTTTTTAGAATTTTTGTCAGTCTGTTACCGCATCACGGAAAAACCACTAGAGGGATTTTGATGAAAGTTAGTATGGTGATAGCTGGTTATCCGGGTCCATATATATAATACTTTTTACCGCGGAAAATATCTCATTTTTGAGAAAAAAATACAAAAACTGCAATGTAAAAGTATACTAATATGTAAAACCCAAGAATTTGGTTTTTGGTCATCTGAACGTGGGCGGAGCCGCGGGCAATGCTAGTATTATTATAAGAGTACGCAGTAACGAATTTGCTGGATTTTTTATTTATTTTATCTGGGATTGGAATCATACTACTATTATAAATGTCTTGTGTACATCGGCTGGACGGATTTGTAAGTAGACAGGCAGACCTGGAGTACTTTGACTGTACTCATATGTAAACTCTGTCTGTTGGTAACTATTTCCTATTTAAGGACGCTATAGTTAAGTACTTACTACTAACGTTAATAAACAGAACGTCGTCTTATAATAATATCATATAATTTAACTACCTCGGAGGTCTAGTGGCCAGCACGTCCAGCCGCAGATCCGGAGGAACCCAGGACGGGTTCGAGTCCCGGGAGGGGACAAGTTCAGTTATTCAGTATTTCTGTCAAGAAATTCTTGGTAACAGCTTGGAATTGGGATATTGACGGTGTTTCATCCCCGTGCCTCGGAAAGCACGTAAAGCAGGACCGACAGGTCCTGCGGGCTGTGCATAAACTCTCAACGGTCTAGTCGAAATATCGTCACATTGGACTTTGAAAGTAAAGGAATTGGAAGTGCACTTGTGTGAATAAAAAATATTTTATTTAAGTTAGACCATTTCCGTTCACTTCCATGCCGTGAAAAGTCTAGTAATAAATAATAATTAGATAAACTGTTAAAACTTTAGATATATATATATATATATATATATATATATATATATATATATATATATATATATATATATATAGAAAGCACAGCATTATGCAAAATTATAAAGTGCACTTCATATACATTTTTAACAAACCAGCGATTCGGAAAGCAAAGTCACCGTTCCGCACCCCACTGCACTACTGCCTATCAACTTTTAAATCAAATATTCTTTATTGAAAAATTATTTTACATTACATAGTTGAAACAGGTTAAAGAGAAATAGTACAAAAGTCCTTATCGCTAGAGATCAATCAATTCTAGGCAACCTATGGGTAGAGAGAAAGAAAGAAGGAAGGAGTGTAAGGAATCTTAAGGAGATCTATAAATGAATACATACATAGACAAATAAATATATACATACTAGACCATAATTTTTATCGAAAGTTTAAAGAAAACACATATTATTAACTAGCATTTCCCGCGGCTCCGCCCACGTTCAGATGACCAAAAACTAAATTCTTAGATTTTACATATTAGTATACTTTTACATTGCAGTTTTTGTATTTTTTCTCAGAAATGAGACATTTTCCCGCGGTAAAAAGTATCCTATATGTTGACCCTGATAACCAGCTATCACCATACCAAATTTCATCAAAATCCCTCCAGTGGTTTTTCTGTGATGCGGTAACAGACAGACAGACAAAAATTCTAAAAACTTTAGATTCGGCCTATGTATCAATAATAATGTTTATTTCAATAAGATTTTCCAAAAAATATTTAATGTACACATTCGGTTTAGTTACAATTTTATTATATTATTTATAGATATAAAATTTATCTATCTATATAAAAAAAACTTGCAAAGTTTTAAGTCAATATGGTATGTAGAGGTCGACCAATTTCCTTCGAGTCTTATTTCGTGACATTGGCGAAATAACATGTCCTCAACTGGCACGCTTTGAAGCCATTAACAAAAACTGACAATTAGAGGTAGGATAATTTTCATCTCCTATTTTTCCGTCCTAAGGGGTGGATTTTTTTTTTAAATTTAAATGGGACTAAGCCGGAAGTACACCCTTCCAAAAAATATCCAAATTAATTAATAAATATCGGAGTTCTGAGGTAACAAACATTAAGAAAAAAATCAAACAAATTGAGAACCTACTCCTTTTATTAAGTCAGTTAAAAATAGAAGTCTGGAGCATGACTAGTTTTTATGTTTTTACAAGTTTGTTAGTTATTCTGCTCCAACCCCACATTGCGGTGGATCCCCTCGATTTATCCTTATTAGGCAAAGCGGGCGTGAGATTATTTTCTCGAAATAGTCCAGATTGGATGTTAAATTATATGGAAAATTGAAAAATATATATAAAACTAGTGTTTAATTAAGTCCAGCACACAAATGCTAAGGTGGCTTGTTATAGCAATAGATAAATGTATGAGTCATACAAACCATACTTTCTCTCTCTCTCTCTCCTCGCTACAGTGAAATTTATTAATTACAATATTATGCACTCGCGGCTCACCCTCGCTTCGCTCGGGTTCGTCGCTAGGTACGTTTGAAGTAGATACAAATAGTTTTTTTTTGTAAATTTTTCATTTTTTCTCTTTATTAAAACCTTCCGTGGACCTTAAGGAACATACGAAAATTTTTTTTGCCGAATTGGTTCAGCCATTCTTGAGTTATGCGCTTACCAACATTCATTTTTATTTATATATACTCGTATAGATATAGATATATAGATAGATGTACCCTTAGTGTGGGTTTTAATGATAATTCAACACTATTCTGTTAGATCTTTTATGTATCTCGATAGATGAATTCCCGAATATACTTCATACAATTGTATAAAGTACATATTTTGGCGGATTCTGGTGTTTTATTACATAAAAAAAAATTAAGAATACAGGTCCGATTATCATATCTGCTATCATACAATTCAATTTTTTTGGTAATGGCTTCAAAGCGTGCCAGTTGAATTTGCTATGAAATATACTCTACTAGGTAGTGTGAAAGTAGTTTTTATTTTAAAATGTCATTAAACTTACCAACTCTAGCATGCAAATATCACGTGTGCGATTTGGCGCGGCTGGACGAATTTGAAAAGGTTTTTTTCCACTTACTTTTACTAGCTACTATGATTTTAACATTTAAAAGATATCATTATTCATTAAAATAATCACTTAAAATATATATAAATTTGAGTACCTAATGTTGGGAGTAGGTTAAAATATTATCTCCTTCCTCCCCAATATACTTATTTTTATGTTGGGGAATGCATTTACGTATACCACTTGCATACATACAGGTGGTTATGTGAGACTTACCGGCAAAACCAGTACCATCCACTAAAACCCAACGAAACCTCCCCCGTCTTAATCGGGCGTCGCAGGATCGCTTACGCACTCAACCACGACGTCCCAACGGCAAGTCTGCCGAAATAGACCACAACAACCATGGGGTTGCTCCAACAGTCCACTCTGCTATTAGAGAAGTACCAGGAGCAACCTGTATGGTATACCACCACCGAAGTGGGCCATCTCTCAGTGTGTTTCTTAGCTTCGCTAAGCTAAAGTAATGATATTTTTAGTGCAAACTATTAATATTCATAGAATTTTATTCTTAGAAGATTGATCACCGAAGCAACACTGTCATAGCTGAAGCCTGTCGAAGAACAAATTATGATTGATTCATACGTCTACCTCTTGGAATATTAAAGTTTTGGAAATATGTGAAGTGATTAACTACCTACTTGTATTTTTTAATTGCTCGAGCACAAAATTTACTTGCAAAGAAATTCATTAATTTTGCTTTCCGACATTTTTATACAGACTGGCGTCGTGTGATCCTAGTAAAATGTCATAGCGAGAATCGACTCTGCTATCTCCAGCCCAATAATCCAATCAATCTGTTATTGCTATTGTGCAAGTAGGATAAACATATTTCATTCCACTTTTTCTTAATATAATTTCAATCACGATTTAAAATTAACGGTATATTTCACGTTCCGTTTAAGGGTTATCTTATTTTTATCAAAATCTCAGCGGATCTTGATTTGCAATCCTGCTCCAGTGGTTCTTGGATTCTTGCGGTCAATGTACTAAGCACAATCATTGTGCCAAAAGTTACACTCGTAAACTTGAAGACAAATCCACATCTATACAATCTACCTATAAAAATATAAAATTTGAAGTGTCTGTTTGTAATATCTAAATAGATTTTTAATAAATTCTTATGAAATATTAGGTTACTTGTAAGAAAAAAATATTTTTGTTAATTTTCGTCTGTCTGTCTACCTGTGTGTTTGTTCCGGTTCATCTCCATTCAGCTTGACCGATTTTGACGGGGCTTTCACTGGCAGATAGCTAATATTATAAGGAGTAACATGGGCAATTTTTATTTTAGAAAAAGTTTAGGGTTGGACGCATAAAAATTAAAACCTGTGAAATTGTGTCCCGAGCGAAGAGATTGTCAGTCGCTAGTTTTAAATAAAACTATCTTTTTGGATTTTTTGCGGCTTTATTTTGATTTTTAGCTCCTGATATTTCGAATGCCTTCAGCAAACATATATAGCGTCGGTAGAGACAAAAATCCGAAATAATAGTTTCGTTTAAAATCCTATCAATATTGTAAATGCGAAAGTTTGTGAGGATGTCTTGATTTCTGGATGTATAGATAATAGATGTATGGATGTTTGTTACTCTTTCACGCTAAAACTACTGAATGGATTTTAATGAATCTTTACAATAATATGCATAGCATCAGTTAACAACACCTAGTTATATATTCGTGTAAGCCTAAAGAAAGAAATCTACGTGTTACAATGTTATCAATTGTATTATGTTTTCTATATACATAGTAATAGATAATGTCTATTATCTATCTATATATTTTTTATTTTATATCTTTATTATCTATTACTCAATTTTTAGAGTTGCATTATTAGTTCTTTTTAAGTTAAAGGTTTTTTTAGAAACATTAGCTTAATTGGCAAGCTTTAAAGCCATAAAACTAAAAAAATAAATAGACAGTTTGAAAAATTAAGATTTGGATTTCCACGAATGTGACGAATTGCACCAAAGTTGCTATACATTTTTTGTAACTACAAGTCACTAGGTATAACAACACGGTATACTATCTCATTTTAACTCAAATTAAGATGCTTTGAGCATGCTAACAAGCAAAACTCGTAAGTTTGTCCATGCTCAGTAACAAAGCACAAATCTCCAAAAGCTCTATTGACAATCTGCGGGGACGGTTAATACGTCTAGTACCGTAATTTTGTACTTGAATTCTAAGCAGCATATTATAATCTTTAAATAATTTAAAAATTTATATAACAATTTTTGCATAGGTATTTATTATAAACTAGTGTGTAAACCCCGCTTCGCTCGGCTACGCCTCTAGGTACGTTTTATATAACAGATAAAAATAGTTATTGTGAGCGTACATTAGGCACATGCCTGTTTGACACGTGCTGTCACATACTGTCATGGAATTTTTTGTAGGCCTTTTGAAGACCTACAATTTTCATTCAATCTTACGAAAATTTTTTTTGACAAAACTCAGTTTAGACAGAGGCATTTTTCGTTTATTGCTCTTTGCATTAGTGAAATCGTACCAATATTCGTTGTGTGGTTAAGAAGAAGTAAGCGGAGAAACAGACGGACACATACAACGACTTTGTTTAGTATTATGTATAGACTAGAGAATTTCCATGCCTTATCTCACTAAACTCTTTAATAAGGTGTTAAAATGCTAACTTAAAATTTAAAGAATCACTTGTCTTATTATTTGTTATATTTACTTTTGGTACCTTTAGTTATAACATGTTCCTCTTTTGTCCCAGAAACATTCATCAGTATCAGTACAGCCTGTATTTAACCGATTTCCAAAAAGGAGGAGGTTCTCAATTTGTAGAAATCTTTTTTTTATGTATGTTGACCGATTACTCGAAGACGCCTGAACCGATTTGGATTTTTTTTTTACTTTTAAAGGGTATACTTCCTAGGTGGTCCCATATAAATTTTTATCGAAATCGGTCGAGTGGTTTTTAAAAAAAATCAGCAATAAATATATTTTTTAAATAAATTGTTTAATCGAATATGTTTTTAAAAAACTTTCTTCTTACGAATTACCTGCTTATTACGGAAAAAAATATGGAAAAAAATATATTGGAAATGGAAAAATTAAAACTTAAAAAAAATTACTTCCAGGCACTAAAATGTAAAAAATAAGTAAACGGAGGTTTTCATTTAGAAGAGATACCTAATCAGATATTTTCGAAGTCGGTGCTAGGCTATAGTATTTTAAGATATGAATATGTAATTGGTAAATATGTATTTTACGTATCGAAATATATTAGATTTGCTTTGCATCGGCTGGCACCGACTTCGAAAAGAGTTTAAGGGTAGAATTTTTTTTGTCAAAAGTGCTTTTTCGCAATTACTCGAAAACGGGAAAAAAATTACTTCCAGGCACTAAAATGTAAAAAATAAGTAAACGGAGGTTTTCATTTAGAAGAGATACCTAATCAGATATTTTCGAAGTCGGTGCTAGGCTACAGTATTTTAAGATATGAATATGTAATTGGTAAATATGTATTTTACGTATCGAAATATATTACATTTGCTTTGCATCGGCTGGCACCGACTTCGAAAAGAGTTTAAGGGTAGAATTTTTTTTGTCAAAAGTGCTTTTTCGCAATTACTCGAAAACGGGAAAAATTAGACAAAAAAGTTAAAAAAAATGTTAGAGCTTAAAATCTTACATAATAAAGGTTTCATGAGGTTTTTTCCTCCGGTCAAAATTAACCAAGTTAGGGAGCTTTTAAGTTTAAGGGATGAACGTACACTTAAAAATGTCATAGGTAGTAGCATTTTTTTTAAATTGCTTAAAAAATTCTTATTCTGATTATATAAACAGCCCATTTCCCTTAAGAAAAATGTAATAATGAAGCTTCGGAAACGTTTTTTCTCAGCATGGCATGATAGACGTTTTTATTACATTTGGGTAATTGAGAAAGTGGACGATAAAAATTCACAAACATTTTGATTCCTTTAGGAATATAAACCAAATTATATCTTTAGGCACAACATCTAAAAATATAAAATAAAAAATATGATGAAAAGAAAATATTTTTTGTTTAATTAAACTCGTTTAATTTTATTTTGGACGCGGTTTGTTTAAGTTTTTTTTCTATTTCGTAACTCGTTCGTAATTCGTCACTAAAAAGTATTCTATATATTAACTCGGATAACCAGCTATCATCATACCAAATTTCATTAAAATCTGTCCAGTGGTTTTCTTATTATGCGTTTCCAGACAGACAGCCAGACAAAGATTCTAAAGACTATAAATTCGGCCTCTATATCGATAATAATGACTATTACAATAAGATTTTCCAAAAAATATTTAATGTACAGATTCGACTCAGAATTTTATTATATGTATAGATGACAAAGCTTTTAGGCTTTATAAGATACCTTAAAAACCGATTTCGGCCACGGCGGCCAATCTCACTGAGACTAGCCTCCACAACGCCCGTCCTGCCACTGAGAATTCGAAAGCTAAAATAAAAAATGAATTATCAACGTATCTATACTTAGACTTAGAGACTCACTAAAATTCTAATAACATATTACACTGCAATCTATGTTTAAAAAATCATGCAAAAGCTAGATAATTTCAATGATGATGTCTTTCTGCTTTAAATGGCTGACTTCTTGCAAATAATGAGTCATTCAATAACAATGAAACTATATAATTAATAACATCCGTAATAAAAATCTATTATTGGTAAATCAAATATAGATAGATAAATATCTCTCTTGGTAATCTCATATGGAACAGGTGTGCTGAAAATTGTAGAAAAATTCATTAATATATTATGCTATCTAAAAATACTAACGAGAATGCCAGCAGATAGCGTATCACGCGTGTGTCCACCTGTCTTTAGATATGGGGTAATTTTAGGAGGAGCACTCTATAAGCCATGGAACTAAAGAATTGAATTGTTTTAATTTAGCTAAACTAAATAAAAAACCGAAAAAGATCACGCTTTGAAGAACATGAGCATTGCCATTAACAAGAAAATTTAATTGAATTGAAGAGTTATATAGACGGATTCCGACAAAAAAATGTTTAAATCAAAAAAAGCGCGTGATTTGGCTTTTTATGCGACTACTCTTCATTTTGAAATATAAATCATTAGCTTTTTATTTCTATTACTCATTAATTTACAATATGTAGAATTGTCCCTTCTTAGCGTCATAAAAATCCGTTATTTAGGAAATGATGTTTGGAACCAAAATTTCGATTACAATTCTAACTCAAAGTTTTAAGCAGTATAATAATAATAATAAATATGTTCGGACATTAACACATAATACCATCTAGTTCCATGGTACCATACCAGATAGTTGATACACAACACATATATAACTTTAAATACATACATATATTATTATAAATATAAACACCCGTGACTGGAGTATAAAGATTTGTGCTCATCATACAAATGAATGCCCCAGCGGGGTTCGAACCCGCGACCGCTGGCACGGCACGTAGGGTCACTACAAACTAAGCCAAACGTGTCGACACACTTTCAATATTTTTGTTACATGTTATTTTAATTATCAATTGATAGTGCACTTGGTTGATAACGGCTCCATATATATGTACCATATTAATGATAGTGACTGTTTGAAGGTATCAGTATGTTGCGAGTTCTAGTGTTGAGTGTCTTAATTGTGTTTGTGGGGTGTCAGACCACTCAGGTCTCACGGTGTAAGTTTAAATGAAATGAAATTTATTTTTTTAGTAACTATTCTTATATATATACCTACAGTTTAAAAACAATGGCTACGATGATATTGCAGAAGTATAAACTGCGTTGTAGATATCAACTATTTGCTATATAACCAAGTTGCTATTATCTATTCTCATCATACTAAAGAATTATATTCCTTCGTGTCTTCTCCATTCTACATGACATTGGTGAAGTAATCTGTGCTCAACTGGCATGCTTTGAAGCCATGAACAAGAAAATTGAATTGTATTGAAGAATTATATAGGCGGAGTCCGCCAAAATAAAGTTAAATTCAAATATAGTGCGTGATTTTGCTTTTTATTATGCTATACTTTTTATTTCTATTAGTTTTTAATTTTGAATGTTTAAGAAGACAATATGAATAATAAAAATAATACTATATTATTTTGTACTAGCATTGCCCGCTGCTCCGCCCGCGTTCAGATGACCAAAAACCAAATTCTTAGGTTTTACATATTAGTATACTGTTACATTGCAGATTTTGTATTTTTTCTCAGAAATGAGACATTTTCCCGTGGTAAAAAGTATCCTATATGTGGACCCGGATAACCAGCTATCGTCATACCAAATTTCATCAAAATCCTTCCAGTGGTTTTTCTGTGGTGCGGTAACAGACAGACAGACAAAAATTCTAAAAACTATAGATTCGGCCTCTGTATCGATAATAATGTTTATTTCGATAAGATTTTCAAAAAACTATTTAATGTACAGATTCAGCTTAGTTACAATTTTATTATATGTATAGATTTTTAAGCATTGGTTCTTTTTCCATAAAAGAGAGATAACATAATAATATTAGCATTTTAATTTTTTTTCTTTATTACGAGTATGTATTATAAATAAGTTAGATATTTTTATGCGTTTACCTTTACTTTTTTAAAATGTTCTAAAAGATATATATTAATTAAAGCATTATTGCTTAGCTTTATGTTTAGTTCTATGGCACAATTATACCTTAGTCTAAGTTTTCACCTGTTTTTAAGCTATTATTTTCACATAACTTAAAATATTGTACTTAATATTTGTTGTGGGAGAGCGAGGCGCAGAATTATTTTACTAGGAGGCCCTCAACCTTAAATATAAAATGTAATTCTGTTATCAAATAAATCATGTCAATTAATCATTTTAATCATATTATTATTCTTCGTCATATTCATTCGTGAAAACTAAAAAATCAAGTACAATTCGAACTCGCCACGAAGGGTTCCGTATCATCGTATAAAATATAACACTTTGTACTAATCGATTTTTTTAATTTGTATGGCGGCCATTTTCAAATTCGCCATCTTGGTTTTTTATTAATTTATGGTTGTAACGAAAATTATTACGGTTTATGAGGTACATCCCGCTGACAGATAGATGGACGGAAAGATGGACGGACAGAGGCTTAGGCACTCTTTGGAACGAAACCCTATAAATCATATAAATACATTTACAATAATAATATTATAATCGACATATTTTATTTTTATTACAGGTTTGTTTTATAATGCCGACCTTCCAATGAATGCATATGTAGAGGGATGCATTGTACCGCCGTGCCTTCTGCCGCAGGGTCAGGACGCAGTCATCAACGTCATATTTAGAGCACGTAAGTTATATTTTACATTTATATATACAACTAGCATTGCCCGCGGCACCGCCCGCGTTCAGATGACCAAAAACCAAATTCTTAGGTTTTACATATTTGTATACTCTTATATTGCAGTTTTTGTATTTTTTCTCAGAAATGAAAAATTTTCCTGCGGTAAAAAGTATCCTATATGTTGACCTAGATAACCAGCTATCCCCCCCAACGTGCGTTCACCTTGTCGTGGTAGGGGGGCTCAGTAGTGCCCGGCAACGCAATCGGGCGCGAAGCCAAGAAACGCACAGGGAGGTGGCCCACTTCGGTGGGCGGTGGGAGGTGGCCCTCTTCGGAGGGCGGTGTACCATGCGGGTTGCTCCTGGTACTTCTCTGATAGCAGAGTGGACCTTGGAGCAACCCCGTGGTTGTTGTGGTCTGCTTCGGCAGACCTGCCGTTGGGGCGTCGTAGTTGAATGCGTAAGCGATCCTGCGACGCCCCATTAAGACGGGGGAAGGCTTTGTTGGGTTTTAGTGGGTAGTACTGGCTTTGCCGGTGAGTCCCACACCTCGTGCGTAAATGCATTTCCCAACGTTAAAAAAAAAAAGATAACCAGCTATAACCATACTAAATTTCATCAAAATCCCTCCAGTGGGTTTTCTGTGATGGGGCGACAGACAGACAAAAATTCTAAAAACTATAGATTCGGTCTCTATATCGATAATAATGTCTATTTCAATAAGATTTTCCAAAAAATATTTAATGTACAGATTCGGCTTAGTTACAATTTTATTATATGTATAGATTATTTATATATTATGAGCATTATGTGTTCGTAGGTGTCAAGTCAGTCAAATGTTTATAAAAGTTGTGTTAGTACTTGCGCGAAAATTTCTGATGTTGTAACATAATTGTACAAGAGATGCAAGAGATAGCGCAAAATTCGCGTCTGTAAATATGTCATTTAGTACGTATGAATGTTTGTTTGAGGATCTAGCAAAGGGTGAGTCGCTAGTGTTCATTAGGCTAATAAAAATGTTTTTTTTTTACCAAATTCCATAAAGGAAAAGGTTATATATATTCCCTATGTGTATTTTTTTATGTACGCTCATCGATTTTGTTAGTTTTAATTGTAATCTATAAATGTTGATCTCGAAGTGATCTCATAAAATTGTCTTTGACAGATCACAGAGATATAAAAATATAAAAATATCGTGACATAGTATTAGTCGAAGAAATCAGAAAAATAAAACTCGAAATTACCTGTATGTGAAAAGATCTAACTTACTTTTTTACCTACATATTTCTAATTTTTTTGTAGACTTTAAATGATCCTTTTTTATAGTGGTTTTTAATAGTTTATCATTTATAATTTAAAGTATTAGTAAAATAATAGAATAAAAAAGACATGAATAACATTTTTTTTAAATTAAACCGACTTCAAAAAATATATACTACAAAGTAATAAATATCTGAACGGGGGTTTTCATCTACTATAGATAGCTAATTAGATATTTTCGAAGTCGGTTTGTTTTTTAATTTTTTTTATGTCGTAAATTTTACTTTTGAGTAAAAACTGAAATAGTTATTGTTTGTAATAAGTAATAATTAAAAAAACTATTTCAGTTTTAGTGACACGCTTTATTCTATTTTATAAAAACTATTAAACCGAGTTTGATGAAATTGGTACCTATTATTCCCTAAGTTGAAATAAGCAAAAAAAAAAGAATGATCAAGGTCCAATTACTAGTTTCGGAGACCTGCACACACGCGTGTACATACATACACCTATAAAATTTTGTATATTTGCTTGGAAGCTTAATAGATTATCATATGTGAATATTTTGCAGTTTCAATAATATTACATACAAACATACGTATCGAATTGATAACCTTTTTTTGAAGTCGGTTAAAAATAACTAATGTGATAATTATTTACGTCATTACAATATAAATATTGCAGCCCGTATAATCAAGAATATGAAGACCTTAGCATCGGCTTCGCTACTCGGCATTACACCAATTGAACACGATTTGGAGGAAAATGCTATCACTTGCAACTTTCTGACCAACACCTACTGTCCCTTGCTGCCGGATGAAGTTGTGCAATATAAACTAAAAATGTTTATTGAGACATTTTTCCCTGTGGTAAGTAATATATGTTGAAATAAAATATATTATTATTAATGCACATACATAAAGTGATGAATCGTAATAGATGCAAGTATTAAAATCTACCTCAACAATTAATTAAGGACTCCAATCCAAGAAGTTCGGCCGGTTAGTTTTAAGGCATTTTATTATGGGCGAGATTATAACTTGGCGAATCACACAGGAAGTAGGTGGGAATTCGTATTTGAACTAAACTTAAAATGGCTGTTTGAATATCTTGCTAGATTTAATGCGTACCTAAGCCAACGCAGGTAGCAAACTGGCAAAAAAAAAAAATGCAAAAGTTTGGATTTTTTGTAGGCTTGGCGCGAGCAAAGCCGCGGGTACTGCTTGTACGATATAATTTTAACTATTCCTTATATGTTTTAGAATTTACCAGTGATAGTGGAGTTTCGAGTCGCAGATGAAAATGATGATCTTCTCTGGTGCCTTCGACTTAACATCAGAATCGCGCCTCCATTGGCTATACAATAAACGCTTGTATATTAAATTGTAATATGCTGGCTACTACAAGATCCCAAAGAAACTGGAGGGGTATATGAAACATATAGACATACACAACGACAAATATTTCAAATGGAAATGCAAAGCAATGCGTCGAAATAAAACAATATTTAAATAAAATCACTTGATAGAAATATGATTCTGTTTTATTCATACTGCCCTCCTCTTGCCACTTGTACAGCTTAATTATCTATACTAATATTATAAAGAGGTAAAGTTTGTGATCTTGTGAGTTTGTGGGTTTGTGAGTTTGTGACGTTGTAGTGGGTAATCTCTGGATCTACTGAACTGAATTTCAAAATTCTTTTACCAATAGAAAGCCACGTTCTTTCTGAGTGTCATAGGCTATATATTAACCCGAAGAATGAAAAAGCTTTTTCGTGGTAGTCGGATTTGCAAAGTAAGTCGGAGAAAAAACGGTCGAACGAAAACGTTTCTTACGAACGCTGCCTTACCGATGAGAGATATATGATTATGTTCTAGAGAAAAGTTATAGAGCTTAATAACGCCTACAAAAAAGTCAGCGACAGCATATGTCTAACTTTTATATTCAAGTCACAAAAAGTAGTTTTTTGTATAAAAAAATAATTTAAATCGGTAGGTCATGTTTATTGGCCATATTATCAACAATTATGAATTCTTATCATAATAAGTAAATTTATCGTCTAAAATGTTTAAAACAAAAGACTTTTCCTTTTTACTGCATGTAATTTGGATAAATGGTTAAAGAGATAATACAACATATTCGTAGGTATGGACGAACCCGAGCGAACTGTTGGCCTGTTTTTCTGTTTGTACGGGCTAATCTCCGAATCTATTAGACCGATTTAAATGAAATTTTGCATGGTGGTACCTTATATCCTCGGGCAACATCTTAGATACTTTTCATCCCGGAAAATTAAAGAGTTCCCGTGGGATAGTTAAAAAACTATAACGACTTATACAGCTTAGTAAACAAAAACTACTGATTGGATTTTAATGAAACTTTACAATAATATAGTTCATACATAACAAAAACAAATCAGCTACTTTTCATCCCGGAAAATTAAAGAGTTTCCGTGGGATAGTCAAAAAACTATAGTAACTTATACAGCTTAGTACACAAAAACCACTGTTTGGATTTTGATGAAACTTTACAATAATATAGTTCATACATTATAATAACAAACAGGTTGCTTTTTATCCCGGAAAAATCTACTGTTCCCGTGGGATAGATGTTTTTGTTTATTTGTAACGTATTATGTTCACAACATAGACCCCAAAACAATAGTTATTAAATAAATTGTCTGTTTGTCTGTTTGCCTGTATGTCTGTTTGTTTGTTTTTGCATGAGCTTTACACGTGAAAAGTAATGTACCGATTTCAACGAAATTTGGTGAAGTGATAACATATTACTCGAGTCAACATTTAGGATACCTTTTGTATGTATGTATTGTGTATGTATTCAGCCCTTTTTAACGTCTCACTGCTGGGCACGGGCCTCCCTTCAGTACGATGGGGATCAGGCTTTAATCAACCACGCTGGCCAAGTGCAGGTTGGCGGACTTCACATGTCTTTTGAAAACTTGCTAGGTTCTCTCAGACATGCAGGTTTCCTCACGATGTTTTACTTCACCGTTAAGACAAGTGGTAATTGTGTTAGAAATGATTCGCACATGAAAATATCAGAGGTGCGAGATCCGGGATTTGAACTTGCTTCACTCGGTTTCCCAAACGAGCGCGCTACCACTGGGATACAACTGCCTTTTACTTCAAGAAAATCTTTCTTTTCCACGGGAAAATACGATAACTGGTTTTATCGAGTCCTCCCTAGAAACCTTCCGCTGGCTAAGCCTTAAGACATACATACATCAAAACAATATACTAACAAATTGTAGGTATTGAAAAGTCCTACAGAAAAGTTCTGAATTGTAAATGTCTATCTCCTAAGTTGCACTCGCAATATTTATTCTTATCTAAACGTATAATAAAACTAACTTAGTCAAATCGATGTGTGCGTTTCACGCAAAAAGTACTCTACCGATTTTAACTAAATTTTGTATAGTGATAAAACTTAGTACTCGGGTCAACATTTAGGATACATTTTCCGACAGGCAAATTATTAATTCCCACGGGAAAACACAATAACTGGTTCTATCGAATCTTCCTTAGATATTTATATGGCTAACGTTGGCTCAACTTTAAAAGATAGATCAAAACATGCAAGAAAATTGTAAGTCTTAAAAAGGTCTATAGAAAAGTTCCACATAGTATATGTCTATCTCCTAAGGTACACTCGCTATAACTATTTTCATTATTATATATTACTGTTTTATTATACGTTATTTATTCTATCTAAACATATAATAAATCTGTAGAGGTTAGAAAAAAAATGCTAAAAACCGAGTCAGTTCTCTTCTTACATCCCGAAAGAAGAGAAATAGAACAAAACCAGTTTTTTTTTTCAATTTTTTTGTTTCTCTGACTGTCTGTCTGTTTTTGTACGGGCTAATCTCCGAAACTATTGAACCGATTTAAATGAAATTTTGCATGGTAGTACCTTATATCCCCGGTCAACATCTAAGATAATTTTCATTCCAGAAAATTAAAGAGTTTCTGTGGGATAGTTAAAAAACTGTAGTAACTTATACAGCTTAGTACACAACAACTTCGCACCTAATTTAGTAAAATTTGGCATGCTGATACCATATATTGCCGGTCAAACAACAGGTTACTTTTCATCCCGGAAAAATGAACGGTTCCCATGGGATAGATCTGTTTGTGCTTTTCTAGAGGTGAACCCGAGCGAAGCGAGGGTGAGCCGCTAGTATTACGTGTATTTTTATGTTTCGACTTCATAGTATAAGTATTGTAATAATATAGACTAACTAGCGACTCACCCTCGCTCCACTCGGGTTCGTTCCTAGTTAAGTTTTAACTTTTAGTATAGATTTCTCAAAGATGAGATATTTTCCCGCAGTAAAAAGTCCTATATGTTGACCCGGATAACCAGCTATCATCATACCAAATTTCATCAAAATCTGTTCTGTGGTTATCTCGTGATGCGTTCTTATACAGACAGACAGATAGACACAAATTCTAAAAACTAAAGATTCGGCCTCTGTATTGACTGCCTCTGTAATATTTGGTCTCTGGAATAATTACTATTTGAATAAGATTTTCCAAAAAAATATTTAATGTCCAGATTCAATTCAATTAGAATTGTATTATGTGTGTATAAAAAGTATAAAAATCGATGATGCAGATACTGTGAAAATCGTTCTTACAGATAGGGTGACTTAAACTTTGTGGTCCATATACCCTGACCATTATTACAGACATATAAGATAAAAGATAAACCTCGGAGTAAAATATAAATTAAAAGGTCTATAGTAAAGCTACAAACTGATATAGCAATATTAAGGCATACATACATACATACTATAAACACACACCCACACATACACACACATACATACATACATATGTTGGAACAAATACCAAAGATAATCTAGTGTTCGTATAATAAGTTATCAAAGGTCAAACGATCATGAAAATAGATTTTTCGAAGGTATCTTAATTCCTGTGCTCAAAATGAGAATTGAAATTATTACGAAGGTCTTAGATATTATGTATGTTTCATATCTCAACAAAAACAAAGACATTCCGATGTTAAATTGGTTTAACTGGGCTAATAATAATAATAAATAAATATATTGGGACATTAACACACAGCACCATCTAGTTCCAGGGTAATAAGCTACGAGGCTTGCGTTATGGGTACCTACTTGATAGTTGATAGTTGATACACTACACATATATAACTTTAAATACATGCATATTATAAACATAAACACCCATGACTGGTTTACAAACATTCGTGCTCATCACACAAATGAGCGCCCACAGCAGGACTCGAACCCGCGACCGCCGCACAGCAAGTACTATAAATTGATCCAAACGGTACATATGTAAAATAGTATTTTCAATTTATAAGATTCATAAAAAGTTTCACTTATTTATCTTTTTTCTATGACCATTGTAAATATTATTAGGTGGTATATCTTAGGGGCACTGTGCGTCACTGAAGAGAAGCAAACTATCGCTGGTTAGTAGAAAAACGCTGCTTTATTGTTTAATAACTTTGTTCTGGCTTTAACCTATATTATAATAGGCATAGTTATTCTTAACTACTGTCACCCATTTTTAACCCCCGACGCAAAAAGAGGGATCTTATAAGTTTGACGTCGATGTCTGTCTGTCTATGTGTCTGTCTGGGGCATCGTAGCTCTCAAACGGATGGACCGATTTCGATTCGGTTTTTTTCATTTGAAAGCTAGTTTCCTTGGGGTGGTTGTTAGCTATGTTTGGTTAATATCGGTCCAGCAGTGTATATAGTTATCACCTTTTTTCCAAAATGATGTAAGGCATTTTGGTGTATGATTACTCGATTCAGTGCTTCACGCGTGCCAGTGTAATCGTTAAATGACAATTAAGTTTTTTTTTATTTTTAATTTATAATTATGTATACAATACAATTTTATCCTGGTTTTCTCTATTTAGTATATTCAAATTCAAAATATTTTATTCAGCATTAAATTATTTCTATTTTTTACTGCACGTCATGAGTCTACTACCAGTTCGGAAGGATAATATATACATATTTATAATATAAACATATTTATAGCATACACAAGCCATGGTTCTATTAAAAATATTGTTTATTTATCAATAATAATAATAAAAAACAACATTTACCATTTTGAAAATTGTTAATTTCATGATAAATGATTTACAAGTTGAAACACGCCAGATGTTAAGAGATGGATTAAAAAAGAACGAAAGCCAGCCAATTTGCGCACGTCAATCGGCTGCGGTTGTTTCCGAGGCCTTTTTTGCGAATTTATTTTTAAATCTGAAAGCTGAAGGTGAGACGCGTATTCCATTTGGCTCCTTAACGTACCACACGCGTACCACAGAGTAGATAT